TGTGCAAGCGATTTCTCAGAGATGGCTCATCCGATTTACACCAAACTTTCAGAGGTAAAAGATATTCAATTGATCTTGATAGGTTTTTTTGCTTTTTGATGACGTCACTTCCGGTCGTGAGATATGGACGATTTTCTGATTTTCAGAGGGTCGGCTTGTCCGGGAAACTCCTCCAAAACGACTTAAGATATTGACCCAAAATTTTTAGTGAGTAAACAGGAAGGTTGGCTTAGTTGCAATCGTGTGTCTAAATCTTTCTAGCACAAAAGGCGCCAGAGCTCGGTAGGGCCCAAAAAATGTCTCAAAAACATCTCACAAAATTTGACACATTTTGTTTCATATCTTCGTACCTGTTCATATTTTGTAAAAGCATATTGAATAAGAAAATTTGCAAAATGTTAAGAACTTTCAGGTAATATCAAGAGAAAGGGGCTAGCTGCTCAAATCAGGGGCTCAGAGGGGCCAAAAGTCTTTTATCTATAACTCTCTAATAAGCTATATTTTGTAATACATTACTGAAACAAAAGTATTTATCTTAACAATTTGCAACAATGTATTATAAAGTTTGATCATATGATACGTAATTAGGGGTCACGAGGGGCCAGAATGTCAAATCTTTGACGCTTTATATCTCAAAAAGGGGGAATATTTTGATAAGCAATATTGAACAAAAGATGGTCAAATTAATGTTCTAAACAATATGCATACTTTGAATTTTTGTAAAACGGCCCCATTAAGGATTGGAGTGATGGCCCCTAAATATTTCCATGTAGCATATCTCCACAACGAAAAGAAATCTCTGAATAAGTGTTGAACAAAAAATCTTCAAAATCATGAGACCTTTCATTTGATATCAAGAGAAAGGGGCTAGCCCCTCAAATTAGGGGCTCAGAGGGGCCAAAGATCTTTCATCTATAACTCTTTAATGATCAATATTTTGTTATACATTACTGAAACAAAAGTATTCATCTTAAGATTTTCAACAATATATTATAAAATTTTGATCATATATTACGTAATAAGGGGTCAAAAGGGGCCAGAATGTCAAATCTTTGACGCTTTATATCTCAAAAAGGGGGAATATTTTGATAAGCAATATTGAACAAAAGATGGTCAGAATAATATTCTAAACAATATGCATACTTTGAATTTTTGTAAAACGGCCCCATTAAGGATTGGAGCGATGGCCTCTAAATATTTCCATTTAGCATATCTCCACAACGAAAAGAAATCTCTGAATAAGTGTTGAACAAAAAATTTTGAAAATCATGAGACTTTTTATTTGATATCAAGAGAAAGGGGCTAGCCCCTTAAATTAGGGGCTCAGAGGGGCCAAAAGTCTTTCATCTATAACTCTTTAATGATCAATATTTTGTTATATATTACTGAAGCAAAAGTATTCATTTTAAGATTTGCAACAACGTATTATAAAATTTTGATCATGTGTTGCATAATAAGGGGTCAAAAGGGGCTAGAATGTCAAATCTATGACGCTTTATATCTCAAAAAGGGGGAATGTTTTGATAAGCAATATTGAACAAAAGATGGTCAGAATAATATTCTAAACAATATGCATACTTTGAATTTTTGTAAAACGGCCCCATTAAGGACTTGGAGCGATGGCTCCTAAATATTTCCATGTAGCATATCTCCACAACGAAAAGAAATCTCTGAATAAGTGTTGAACCAAAAATCTTCAAAATCATGAGACCTTTCATTTGAAATCAAGAGAAAGGGGCTGACCCCTTAAATTAGGGGCTCAGAGGGGCCAAAAGTCTTTTATCATTAACTCTCTAATGATCAATATTTCGTTACACATTACTGAAGTAAAAGTATTCATCTTAACGATTTGCAAGAATATGTTATAAAATTTTGATCCTATGTTACGCAATAAGGAGTCGAAAGGGGCCGAAATGCTATATATTGGATGCTTTTCATCTCGAAAAGGGGGAGTATTTTAAGAAGCCATATTGAACAAAAGATGACTAAGATATTGTGATATTAATCAGAAACTTTAGATATAATGAAGGAAAACTCATTCTCTTTTCTCGAATATCTCAGTCAAAATCACGTCTCATCTTATCGAGAAATTCAACGGAAGACCTACTCGTTGCTCGCAACGAGATCGAATCTAGTTATTATTATAATTGGACTTTTGAGGGGTGTTCTGACTTTTATGGTTAACGGCTTACTTTTGCACTAGGGCAATGTGCAGAATCATTTTTACGATAGAAATATTTAGCCCACACGAAAATAATGGTTATTTTAAAGCACAGATAAGTTGCCCTTGAAGAAGACGACATCCACCCTACCCGCAACTCCCAGTCTTTACGTGTTATAACCCTAACACCTATGACCACCAGAAAGGTTTTATTATCTATTGTCGATTCTGTCCTCCGTACAAGATGCAGATTTCAGTGTCAAAGTAAACCGTCAACTGTAAAAGTCAGTGCTTCTCACAAAAGTCCATTAATCACATATACGTAATAAATGAGAAAAATCGAGGTAAAGAACAATATTCTCAAAAAGATATTTAAACGAGTATGTTGCACTGAGTGCCAGAAAAACAAATGCATAATTGTACGTGCATTTATTTTGACAGACTATTGAGAAAAATAAAAAATAAAAAACTATATAACTTGATCAATCATAATTAAATACTGTATAAGTACTTCCTATTCTTTTTAGGTAAGGATAAGCTTTTTTTTTTTTTTTTTTTTTTTTTTTAAATAATGTTAAAATTCCATCAATAAAGACACTAACATGCATTTAATAAGATTTACCTAAATAAATGATGCATTTCAAAACAACTATGACACAAAAGAATATTTATCTTGATATATTTGATATATAATTACAATTCTTACTTTATCTCAAAGTGTATTTCCATTACAGGGATCAAGAATATGAACAAAAATATTTGGTGTTTATTTTTTTTTCTCATGTTCCACCTCGGTATGTATGATTTCTCTAACTTTATGTTATTTTATTTATTTTAATTTTATTATGGCATTTTATAAGGGATGCCAACGAATAATCGACGATCGAATAATGAAAAGACATTTGAATGATTGAATATAAAAATTAAATATTTAAAAAAGAGGAGCGAAAACGAGATGGAATTCTCACCTCAGAATTGAGAATCCATCTTACCTCAGGCACAGTCGATGTGATAATTTTTTCTCAAGAAAAACGTAGACTATTTATTCACATGTAAAGAGCAATTATATACTAATCTTTTAATTAGACTTCATTAACCTTTACCAAATATTTTGTTCTTTTTAAAATGTTCAAATACAGGGAACACATCGTAGTCATGATGTGTTTCGACACTTCTTTAATTTTTAAAATAACATCAATTTGAACAAGCAGTATTAAAATGTTTAACTATAGCACAGACAACTGACGTGTAGATAGTGTGTCCCAACCTCTTCGTTTTTTTAACGAAATATATGGAGATAACGAACATTATTCAAGCTCAAAGGTCCATTAAACGAAACAAAATAGGAGCAAACACGGACCTCGAAAACATCAGAGGTGGGATGGAGTGTCATGGAGGAGTGAGCTTCCACTGTCGACCGGTCACAGCCTCCGTGTGCTCCTTGTCACAATCGGGAAGTAACAAAAAATCTGTTGTTAATTAATGGTCCAGCAATTAGTATGAAAATCGTCAGTCAGCATTTGACTCAATTATAAATTGTATTTACTGACAAGCTCATTGTATCGACCATATAGAACTAACGAAGTATATAGAACTATATAGAACTGCCTTCAAACGAAACTGCTGATATATATTGTTTCATCAACTTGTTTTTTCAATAATTTATCTCGTTTCAAAATTTGGAAATACGTAGAGCTTGCTCTTGTGTATTGAATAAACTGAGAACGACGTGCATCTTTCAAATATAATACCAAATATTCATGCAAAATCTTGTACGTCATGGTTACACGAAAATGATGATGCATCAATACTTTCAATGCCCTTTTCACGGTCCAATTCTTTATTTTAGGATTAGGATTTCTGGAGATAGCCAGTGTTCCTATAAAAGGGAAAAATGGAAGTCTGAAATGTTTGTTCCCAATGCAAAACATTCATAGTGTAATCTGGAAGCATGAATCGAATATTGAAGCTGTTTGCTATGATAGTGGATTTTGTGGAAATATCAGTGATTCAAATGGACGATATCATCCATCAATACATTCCAGTCACTCATTGTTCCTTATCACTGAGGCTAATTACACCCTTGACAACGGCAACTGGACATGCCAACTGAATAATATATTTGAATCAAGAAAAACTTTGATTGTATACTGTAAGTATAATTTGATGAAAATACTTCAAACACATTTTTGTTCAAAATCAGATTTGGAAGAGAAATAAAAGATAAATTATTTTACGTTTTATGTTTTTTAACCGATCCATGAACTTGTTTTCTTATAATTCTTCAAAAAGACAAATATCTCATGATTACAAGTGGACTTTTACACATGGATTATTTCTGTATTTCAACCAAAGTATCAACTCTTTGTAATTGATCCCACATCATGGACCTTGCATCATAACAAACAAATTTTATTAAGAATTGTGTATGTCGGAAATATATTTTAATGTCGTATTTAAATACTTGTATAGCATAAAAAAATTATTTATAATTTACGGTTAAAAAATTATTGTGGGGACTATGCTTGTAGCTGACTTTCTTTAATATACATTGAAGCTTATGGATAATTTGCAGCCCTTCCAGTCGCCTTAAAGCTAATGAAACCATCAGAGTCTGATATTATAGGACCTGATCCAATTCAATTTGAGGCCCAAGCTATGTGTGTTTATCCAAGAGAAAATAACTTGAATCTTTTGTACAGCATTACGGTATGTCATACAAACAATGCTAGAATTTATAATTTCCAAAAAGGGGAAAAAATCATGTGTATAAAGAAACAATATTTTTGACATATTTACTTTTCCAGGGAGATAATTCATATAATGACTTCACAAAAAGGAAGGCAGAACTTTCCTTTCAAGATGGAAAAACAAGTAAATGTTTGTCTCACGAATATATCTTGATAGCTCGTATTGAAATACATGCAAGCGACTTTAATGGGCTGGTTGTGAATTTCAAATTCAAATTTGAAACAAATTTTGGATATGAAGAACTGTCCTTAAAAACAATCAAAGTGGAATTCAAAGGTAAGACAGACACAAATTACTACCACATTTATGATATTATTTTAAAAATACCTTTCACTTTCATTTATTCAAAGTATGTGAGGGGTCTATGAAAATTTTTGTTTGTATTAGGATACGGCTACTTTATTGAGTGCGATGGGCAATGGATCTTTTGTCACGATTTAAAGTTTAAACTGCATGTATATTCAAAAACATTAATTTCTTTTGAATTTTGAATTAGGAAATGAAATTTCAGAAGGAATATAAATTTTTTGTTGTTTTCTTTCCATATCCCTATATTTTGCGCCATTACTGACATTTTGTTCGTAAAGATTATATGAATTAAAGAGAATTTTTTAAAGTTCTAAATAATTTTCTGCCAAAATAAAAGATAAAACTTTCTTAATGTTTTATGCATACTGTGGCCAGGAGTCTTAACGAAGCAAATTTATAAAGGATACTTATATGCAAAGCGAGTTTTGAATTATATCAATAAATAATATATGAATGGTGTATTTTTATAAAATAATTGCAACAAATAACTATCAACATATTTTGCAGAGAAACCTACAAGTCTGACCCAACATACAACTACTCAAATGGATAAGATTACGACTGCATGGCATGGTAAATAGCGTTGGACTTTACTTGCAACTTTCAACCAAACTTAATACAAAATATCCTTCCGTAAAGGGAATTCAATTTTTTTAAAATAAAGGTCACACACTTTCAAGGTGAGATAAACAAAAAATAGTTTTAAAAAAGATGAAGCTTGTTAGAAAGCTTTTGGATACATGTATAATGTTAGTTTTAAGCTTATTCATCTCATGACCCCAGAGGTAGGACGGGGCCGTAATAGAGAATTAAAGTTTTACATAGAAATTGCATGAAATATGTTGAAAGATCTCAAAAATAGCCAAGTTCTGCTTGATGTTATTTAAATGGAAGCATCCTAAGGTAGTATATATTCAGAACTTTAATTTATGATCCCCCGGGATAGGGATGGGGTGACTATTTGCAATCAAATCTTTACAAATCTCAATCCTCCATGGCACCTGATCCAACCTCTGGTGTTTTGGAGGTCTGTGTCCACTCGGCTCCGATTTTGTATTGTTTTATGGACTTCGATATTGAATACTGATCGTTATCTCAATATCCTTCGCTTTACAGAGAAATATATAGGAAACATTTTTAAAAATCTTCTTCTGAAAACAGTAAAGCCACTATTGTTAATATTTATATTGAAGCATCTTTTGGAAGTGTAGATTTGTAGATTTAAGTTTATTCAAATCGTGACTTCTGGGGATATGGTTGGACCATAATTGGGAATCAAAATATTCATAGAAATATATAGAAAATTTTCTAAAATAAACCGAAGAACAGCAAATCAATGATTGAAGGTATTTATATGGAAATCCTTAGTTAGTGCAGATATAAGTTTGTTAGAATCCTGACCCCGAGAGGTATGTTGGGGCCACAATGGGTATAAAAGTTTTACACGAGAAAATATAAGGAAAGACTTTCTGCTCAAGAACAGAAGAGCTGTTTTAAAGTCATATTGATATGTATGCATCCACTTATACTGAAGATTAAATTTGTACAAATCATGACTTCTGCGGTAGGGAGGGGACATAATAGGGGATCAAAGCTTTATTACAAAGTGATCTTTTATAAATGTTTAAAACTCGTTAATTTTAGTTTTTTAATTTAATTTAAGCAATATTTTATTCACTGATGTTAATATGAATAGGATTGGGCAGCAGGCTCAGCCTATTTTAGTCCTCTCCCTAAAACATCGTTTAAAGAACAGCAAAACTATATGCTATATTAATATGTAGTATAAAGTAGTATTAAATTCAAGTCCCCCATCCCAGCCCAAGTAAAACTTTCAATACTTAATTGAGTTGTGATTTTTGCTAGACGATGCGCTTAGGTGAACGATTTGGCCCATGGACCTCTTGTTAAAGTCGGTCTTAGTTTAAATATTGATGTAAGTGTAGAGAAGGGCTTTAGGAGAGAATCGAAGTTTTACAAAGGAATGGATAAGAAATATATTTTTTTAAACACTTGATTCAAGAAAAGCATAGACATGATTATTCTTTTTTAAGGAAGGATATGGAGATAACGAACAGTATTCAGTCTCAGAGTCCAAAAAACAAAAACCTTAGCATTTTCATTTAAGGTAGAAACCCGAATTTTTTTTTATATCAAAGCCCTAGGGAAGCAGGTGGGGTGTAGAGTGAAACTTAGACAGGTATTCAAAAATCTGCATGTGAATTAAGCAAAAAAAAAATCTTTATTTAAAAATCTTTTAACGACCATAGGCATTCAGTCTTATTAAAATGCAAGAATCCTCAGTAATCACACATGAAAATCAATACATTCAGATTCATAGGGCGTGGAACTATAATAGGGGATCAAAGTTTACCATAGGTAGGTGAAAATCTTTAAAATCTATCTCAGAAGCAAGGCAATTTTTAGTAAGGCTTCCATGCAAAATTATTCAAAAAAGTAGGAGCTAGTTCAAGATATGTAAGAAAAAAAGACTGAGGATCCATTATGACGTCATAATCACTTTCAACTTTCTTTTTCCCGAACTTTACGGCTCTAATAGAATTATGTAGAAAATATGAGTATTTTCATGAAAATCAATTTGAAATTACGTTAAAATGACAGTTTAAAATATGGTTTTTCATCTTTTTAGCTCACCTGAGCCGAAGGCTCAAGTGAGGTTTCTAATCAAATTTTGTCCGGCGTCCGTCTGTCTGTCTGTCTAGCTGTCCGTCTGTCTATAAACTTTTCACATTTTCGACTTCTTTTCAAGAACGTATCTAGTCTATTCTCAAATTTCCAAATAAAACATGGAGATTATTGAAAATTTATTCACGGCTTCTTGAATTCACGGATTTATTAACAAGAATGACCAAGCCAAATTTCATCATATTTATATGGAAGCATCCTCATGTAGTGTAGATTCAAGTTTGTTTAAATCATGACCCCCGGGGGTAGGGCAGGGCCAAAATGGCCGACCAAAGTTTTACATAGAAATTTATAGGAAAATTCTCTAAAAATCTTCTTCTGAAGAATAGGAAAGCCATAATTCATCATATTTAAATGGAAGCATGTTCAGGTATTGTAGATTCAAATTTGTTCAAATCATGATCCCTTGGGGTAGGGCGGGGCCAAAATGGCCGACCAAAGTTTTACATAGAAATATATATGAAAATTCTTTAAAAATCAGCAAATCCATGATTGGTCATGGACTACTTTTGTATTTAAACTTTACAATAATAAACCAATTTCTACTTTTTCTTAATTAGCCAAAGTACTCTTAGGTGAGGGATGTGGCCCATGGGCCTCTTGTTTTCCTACAAATTTTGCCCTGAAACACCTTATTTGACCAAGCTAATGTTATAAAACATCATTAAAGGAATTTATTTCTTGAATTTGATAAAACTGAAGTCACTTTGCATTTACTAGATCTTGGCCTTAAGTGTTTAAATTCATGGCCCTTTGCAGCTAGGGATAGAAAACATTGAACCCAATTTTTTCAAAGAATAAATGAGGAAAAAATCTTTTAAGTATATTCTGATTAAAAACAATAGACCTAGCAATGTGACTTTGATAAATGAATTAACCCTTGTGACACATGAACTACTTTTTATTTGTTATTAGAAACAAAAGATTCAGCAAATGATATTTGTGATGACATTTGTATATTTTACAGAGAAACCAACAAGGCTATATACTCCTTTTCATGTAACTATACAACGGGGTAAGAATACAGAAATATATATTTTGATTAATTGTCTATGAAAAATGTGAACTATAGTTTATGCCTAAGGATGGTGCTGAATTGCAATAAATTTCGAAAACTGATTAGTTATCATAGTCAAGAATGTTTTATATTTCCTAAAGAATATTATATTTTATCAAACTATCAAATATTCAATTTGAAATACTGATAGAAATGGTATAATACATTTCATGCTTTCTTTCATAACAGAAAATTAATTGAAATATGTTTGCACTGCTCTCTTTCTTCGGTCAGACACTTATAATCCATGTGAATCTCAGCCTTGCCAAAACGGAGGGATATTTATTTTAAATATAGCTACATCTGAATAGTTATGTAAATGTTCTTTAGAATTTAAGGGGACGTCATGCGAATATAGAGGTGATAAGAGAACATAATTTATTCAATGAGTTTTTGGTCTTATTTCTAATCAGCATTAATTAAAAAATGGTAAAGATATGGTTAAGGTATTTGTAAATGCAACCTTGCAAATCCATAAAGTAATTGAAAGAACCACTTTTTCAAAAATTACTTTCATTCTATTTAGGCCTTCGTGTACAATCTCTGCCGCTGGTGTTCATATGGTTGTTATAAGTTTTGATATATATTTTTGTATGCTTGATCCATCCTTTTAATATATTAGTTCCTCTAGATTTCAGTTTAGGCCTTTTTAATCTAGTATTTGCAAACTTAAATCACTTTTGTTCCCTTACCTTCCTGCAATTATTTTTATAGACATCAATTCTTTATTTTATTTAGTAGATATTTTATAAATATTAATTTTTGCTAACTTTTCAATATTCGACTGATGAATCAAGATCAATCTTGCTTTTCATAAATCCAGTTGGCGACTCAAGTAATTCTAAATAGTGATACTAATGTGGAAATCTGGAGCTGCTCATTACAAGTTCATTTATTCCAATAAATTCAGATACAAATTTCAGCTACAGCATCCAAAGATGCATTATGCAAGTCCATGCCTACCTATTGCCATCTCTGTTATTTAAGGAATTGCTTTCTATGTTATAGAATCTACGCTTTATAAACGGCGAAGCGGTTTATGTACTCAAGATTTGTTATATCGGATACAAGGTTTTAATGTGTAGACAATGAGACAATATTTCCTCCGAAAACAGGCATCAAACTGAGCAATATTTTAAAAGTAACGTCAAGCGGAGAAATACGTTTTTGACGTAACTTATTGTGACGTAGGCAAGTTATGTTATATAAAATGCATGTTTTTTTTGAAATTTGAAAATTTTTTTTGAATCTCTGCATTTATGTTCTCTTTTTTAAATTAAATGTGTCGTTTTCGAACCATAACTTGAATTGAATTGAATTGTGCATCACAAAAAAAAGATATATTATATATATTTAGTTATAAATTAATGAAAAATTACAATATATCGTTAAAATATACAAAGCATATTAAATTATATATTAAAACAATTATTTCCACATTTTTAAACTATCTTTTATCAACAAAACAAAATTTTGTTCAAATATGAGAGATATGACACCCCCCAAAAATACTAAAAATATATTCGCATCAGTAACAAACTTGATTAAAATACATGTACAAGCTGTTTCGAAGTGTCGCCATTTTTAGCAGCGATCTTTAAATAGTTCGAAATTACAATGCAAATATGACTTTAAAAACGGTAAAAAACATTACGCAAACGACGCGTACGTGCGCTTTTGAGAGTAAAATCGTATAAATCGTATGTAAAGATGTATAAATATCAGTTTCGATGATTATGCCTTGACAATTTTATACTTGTTGTGTTGGTACGCGCCAACAGTCATGGTTGGTTGGAAACATTTTAAGTTCACTCTCGACAACCAAAAAACACTTTTATTTGGTTGAAAAGTTGAAAAAATCTGTACATCAGCATGTTTTTGCCTTTTTATTCACTTATGCAATATTGAATCTTACATAGTAACGATTTCAAGAAATTCTATGACTGCAAATATGGGATTTTAATGGTAACTACAAAATTTTATTACAAAATTATTATAAGGTTTCTTATATTGGGATCGCCTTTGATTTTTTTTTACATTAATAAATGATCATTGCATATACAAGCTGTTTCGAAGTGTCCCCATTTTTAGCAGCGATCTTTAAATTGTTCGAAATCACAATGCAAATATATGTAAAAAACACTTGTTTGAGCGTTTGGCTATAGCTAATCTTAGTAAATACTATTAAAGGGATTTTAATGGTAACTATTTTATAAGGTTTCTTAAATTATGAAAGCACAAACAATGTAAACATTGGAACACACAGTTAAATATTTTTATGCTTAGATAGATTCATGAATGTGGTTACCTCTTACCATTTTTTTTTAATTTGCATCTTGTATATTTTAGCAAAAGTAGACATTATGATTATCATTTCAAATTTTTATTCCTGTAGTTAGTCCTTGTGACCTGGGAATTTGTAAAAATGGTGCAAGTTGTACATGGATAGAAGATTCTAAGTTTTTCTGCACCTGTGCACTTGGGTTTTCAGGATGTTTTTGTGAAATTGAAGGTAAACGTTAAATATCTAAACCTTTTGATGTTTCTTAAATGTTTAAAATATCATTCCAAAATTTTGTTAACAGAAAGATAAATAACAGATAACAAGCAGTCTGATATTTTTGCGTTAGCAATACTAAACGTCTGTATTTTGTTTCCCATTAAATATTGGAAATGTCATGACAAACATCATTGAAATGGAACGAAGTAAAAACTTAATCTATAACTCATCAAGGCAAATTCATAGCAAAAATCATCTCAATATTTAAAAGCATTTAGAACAAAGATTGGAAAACCTGGTTGGACAGACTGATAAACTGACAGAGGTACAGTAAGACGGACGGACAACGAGGAAACCTATAGTCCCCTTCGGTTTCACCGTTAGTTGCAAGAGGATGCATGAAAAAGTTAATATCTGTTAAATTCTTATAATATAATTAATCTATGCTAGCACATCATTTACTTTAAATTGGGTTCGATTAAAAAAATAATATATTTAAGATGTAGACTACGCGTACGCTTTTATATGACGCGTTTCCTAATTAAATTCTTTCAAGTTTTATTAATACGCATATCAAATCAGCATCGGCTTTCAAAGAGAAAAAAGTAGAAGAACGAAGTTAAAATCTCGACGGTATTTTGTAGTAAGTATTTTGTTTTCTTTTATGAAAGTTTTAAAGATTTCAAAGTATAGGAATGTATCTTAGAATTTTTGTTATACTCTCCTTTGAATGAGCATTGTGACATAATATGAATTTTATATCAAGGGAGAAAACTGAACACAGCTGATACTACTGTAAAAGAGAGTACTTGGTCAAGGTGTTTTTAATACCAAATTATTATATGTTGATAATCTTATCAACGTATCAATATATCCTGTTTTAAAGGTAAATGTTACTAATGTAACGTTAGCTCTCTTTGTGGATTGATTGATCGTACATGTATTGACATGGGGCCTTAGTTTTCAAGATTTAATCAGAAGGACCCGTGACTTTTACTTCAAAGTGCCAATAGCTTGGTGAATGAATAGTTGTTACCTATTTTTTTAATCGATTTATGTCAGTCGCGGCCAAGATTCGAACTCACGACCTTCTGATCACAGAGCTAACGCTCCTCCAACTGAGCTATCGTGACGTCAGAGTACGCAGATGTTGCATAACTTCAGTCCTTGACTATATATTGATTCAATTCATTATATGTGAACATGGTCATCCTAAGTCGTTGCCTCTATAGTGATAAAAATCGTGATATGAAAAGATGGTCATCCTCATTCGTTGACTCTATAGTGATAAAATTCGTGATATGTAAAGATGGACATCCTCAGTCGTTGACTCTATAGTGATAAAAATCGTGATAGGTAAAGATGGTCATCCTCAGTCGTTGACTCTATAGTGATAAGAATCGTGATATGTAAAGATGGACATCCTCAGTCGTTGACTCTATAGTGATAAGAATCGTGATATGTAAAGATGGACATCCTCAGTCGTTGACTCTATAGTGATAATAATCGTGATATGTAAAGATGGTCATCTTCAGTCGTTGAATCTATAGTGATAAAATTCGTGATATGTAAAGATGGTCATACTCAGTCGTTGACTCTGTAGTGATAAAATTCATGATATGTAAAGATGGTCATCCTCAGTCGTTGACTCTATAGTGATAAAAATCGTGATATGTAAAGAAGGCCATCCTCAGTCGTTGACTCTATAGTGATAAAATTCGTGATATGTAAAGATGGTCATCCTCAGTCGTTGACTCTATAGTGATAAAATTCGTGATATGTAAAGATGGTCATCCTCAGTCGTTGACTCTATAGTGATAAAAATCGTGATATGTAAAGATGGTCATACTCAGTCGTTGACTCTATAGTGATAAAAATCGTGATATGTAAAGATGGTCATCCTCAGTCATTGACTCTTTAATGATAAAAATCGTAAAATCTATAATGATGGTCATCCATCGTCGTTGACACCAGGATATAGAAAACGTTAAATGTTAAAAAAAAAACATATGAACATTTAAAACATTTTTCACTACAACTGCGCTACTGACTCCTATGATTTTTTTTACACTTTGAGGTTTGATATTACTGAGCTAAACATTGAACTATCTACATATTCGGTAGCTAGAGTTTGCGAACTTTTTTGTGGGACCTGATCCCATCTCTGATCTTTGAGAGTAAAGCGAGTGCTTTATTCCTGATTTTCTTTGTTTTAATTAACATTGAAGCTTATAGATAATTTCGTTATCTCCATATATTTCCATTTAATGGATTTTTGAGATTGAATACTGTTAGTTGTCTCCATACATTTTTTAATGAATTGACGAGTCCAAACAACGTTCATTTTCTGCACTTTTTTCGATGACAACCTGTTATGATATCTCGTATAACCCTGCATATGCCTCCTAGCAGGCACAATGTGTGCCGATCCATTGAAGTCGAGAATTGACATACTATTGTAGCCCAATTATATTTAACTCATTGGAACAAATACCTCGACATTCTAAAATAAAACGTTTCTATGCAACAGAGGTATAAGGTGTTTGATCAATGAGTAATTTAAGCTAGAAAATGATGTCAGACCTATCGTGATTTTAACACATACATGTTTATATAATCAAATCGTTAAATGTGATTAACAAAAATCACCATCCAAATATTCAGCCATTATCTATAACTTACAACAGTTACAGACAGCAAACCTTCATGCATTTGCATATATATTTAAAAAACCATTTAACACCTCAGTATTAATATACAATGAAATGTTAAAGGAAACATGTGAAAGTCGTAAGTATAAATTTCTTGTTAATCTGATATATATCATATTAATTTATCTGCTTCTTCTAAATTACATGGTGTGTATTTCTACGTGTAGAGACACAACGTTGCAGTTTATATTTACACATAATACCGTGCAACTGCAGATAAGAATCACAACCGAATATGGCGGACAGAAAGTCGGAACGTCATGCAGGTGGGGATCATTGGAAGGCCAGTCAGAAGACTGGGTTAATTAATTAACATTCTTTATTCTATATTCATAGCGTCCTTTATAAAACTGTAGATAAGTAAAAGGAACAAAAAATTATGGCCGATGGCATTAAAATTTTCTATAAATAGAAATTCCCATACTTTTATTACATTCTAGATAGACGCTAAAAATAATTTAAAAAAACATGGGTAATGATAAACCTGTCCAGAATATAGTTAATTCGCTACTCGAGAATTTGCTCTGAGAACAATCAAATTTTAAAACTAGACATGCTACTAACTAATAAGTTGATATAACAGGGGTTGAATAGGTCTTATGGTGGGTGTAACCGTTCAACAGGGGATGCTTACTCCACCTAGGTACCTAATCCCATCTGTGAAATTTCCAGGAGTCCGTTTTTATGCTCTCTTCAAATATTTGTATCATTTATAGAATTTTAACGATTGATCATTGTACGTTATCTTTACAATTAACATAGACAGGTTCTCATCTGACGAAATCTCTATTAAAGGGGTAAATAAAAGTTCTCTAAAATTAGAAGAATCTCAACATGATCAAAAATATTAGCAACGTTAGTATTTCATTCCATATTCACTAAATGTTTGCTACAATCAAAGAGACATCAGTAAATTTAAATTACAGACATTAAATTTTAAAAATTAAATTATATAAAATATCTCATTAATCAGGTTAAATGCTTTTACAACACAATCTATTTTAAATTAGATCTTTGATCATCTCAAACTTAATAGAGATCTAGTTGGAGCGGACCAAAGATCTTATTTTAATATTAATTAGATGGGTAACAATAACATATCATAGTAAAAAACCTTTCAACTTTTAATTTTCAACTGCATTATTCTAAGACTTAATCATTAGAGAATGCTAGAAACAAACCTCTTCTTATCCAAATTCTTGATTATAAAGACTCTGACAAATTGAATATTTATTATGAACTATTTTAGTGGTTTACTAGGGCATAGCTTATCTATGCTTTATGCTGCAGCAAGATATCGATGTACGAACAGGTCCACATGCATTATCCATCATTGACGACCAACTTGAGCATCTAGCTAAAAATGGATTATTGCGAGGAAAACTGACAATCAAAGATCAAAGGTCACTATTCACAGGAACAAACGACCTTACTGAGTTTATACAAGTAAATACGTATACTTACAGTTGTTTGTGTGCAGTAATTTGGTGATCTATGGAATCAGAACAGGACCATGTATTTCCCTATCGCACAATTGCACCAGTGACTCTAGCATGGGCAAATGGCATGATTATAAATTGATTATGATACGATTGCGCGTTTGAGCAATGGTGCCTCGACGCTATAACATGATTGTGATAAGGCGAATTAAGATTCAGTAACAAAGACGCATACGATGAAGCCATGTCCGTTATCGCATCCTGATTATGGCGCTATTTTACCGTCGCAAGGCTATCACACATTTGCGACACTATAGTCGATTTACCATAATAAACCACGTGGTCCAATTTATATTGCAAAGGAATAAAAAAAATCAGAATGTCTGCAGGTTGGGTCTGGTTGGTACTATTATACAATCATGGACTTCAGTGTAGGTTGATATGTGGTTATAAGGACTCGTGGCAATTGATATTGACCGAAGACACAGAAAGTGATAGCGACCGAGCCTGCGAGGTCAATATCAATTGCCATGAGTCCTTACAACCACATATTGACCGTTCACTGAAGTCCATAATAGTTATATTATATAGGCCTAATCACTCAAAGTGAATGCACTAACACAGTCCTAACTAAACACACTTGGCTGTCATTACGTCACAATGGTTAAAAACACGCTTCTCATACTATGACGTCACGTTTTACATAACTTCAATGCAACCAAACGCTGTGTCGTGCGTTATCATTTTCCGCCGACGCGCTTTCGCGCCGTTATTATACAATTATGGACTTCAGTGTATGTCGATATGTGGTTATAAGGACTCGTGACAATTGATATTGACCGAAGACACAGAAAGTGATAGCGACCGAGCCTGCGAGGTCGCTATCATTTTCTGTGTCTGAGGACCTCCACAGTGTTTATAAATTTCTCTATCTGATAAGGTACATAAGAACTTTTTCTGAATACTATCTTTTTTTAAAACCAAGACATGCTACTATGAAGATTTTGACGTTACAGGACTTTAAAAAGTCTCAATTAAATTGAGCATTTTGCACATACTATGGTTCTTACTTTGACATTGTTGGCAAAATACAGTTTAGAGTTCAATCAACGTTTGACATACTTCATACTTTCATACTTTTATTTAGGTAACAGTTTTTATACTAATTTGAAGGCTTCACCACAGGTCA